AATCTTTATTCATCTTTGTTATTTCCTCTTTCATGATGCCAAAGAGGTCATCGATTTTACATCTTTTCTAGAAGAGAATAGAAGGAGAGAATATAGAGAGTGAGAACCCAAAACCGCCTCCCCATCTTTGGGGAATTCATCCCCTATATATAGTTCTGAGACCATGACCACCTTCTCCGGTCGGTATGCCTTTACGCTGTGACCTTTTCGTTGTTAAGTGTTGTATTTTGACCCATTGTACACTGTGGATACTTAGGCCGACGTAGGTCGTGATGGTCCTCGCTAACCTGTTCCTTAGACGGGGTTCTAACTGGATCGGCTATTATGGTTAGATTTTGATCTATATAGTTACTGTACAGAATGTTAGAGGATGCTAGAATATTCGCACTTGTGATCCAAAAATTTCTTCTTTAATTATTTACCTGTTTCTCTCCTGATTTAAAGCGAAATCATCGTTCACTTAGATATGACTGTGTAAAGATGCAAATTTACGCTTAGTTTTTTTATTCATTAGACTATACTGTCAATACCTAAAAATGAAATAAATATTTTTATTTTTTTATTTTTTATAGAGAAGCATGTCAACTTCAATTTAATAACATCAGCAAAAGTGGCAATTAAAATGGAGGGATGTGATCCGCTCAAACAACAAAATCAGCTACATAAATTTCACAGGAATTCCATTTAGCTACAGAATGTGCTAGCTGGATTGTTAGCTTCTCAACAAAAAAGTTGCATTTGATCTTTGCCTGTGTTCAAATGAGTTTTCGAATACACTGGATCAGGAGGATAAATAAAAGTAATGAGAAGATCATAAATAAATAATAATAATAATAATGATAATGTAATGAGATAATAATAATAATAATAATAATAATAATAATAATAATAATAATAATAATAATAATATCAACAACATAAAATGATACACTACAATCCAGGATAAAGTAGGGATCGAATGTCAACTTCGATTTAATAACATCAGCAAAAGTGGCAATTAAAATGGAGGGATGTGATCCGCTCAAACAACAAAATCAGCTAAATAAATTTCACAGGAATTCCATTTACCTATAGAATGTGCTAGCTGGATTGTTAGCCTCTCAACAAAAAAGTTGCATTTGATCTTTGCCTGTGTTCAAATGAGTTTTCGAATACACTGGATCAGGATAAATAAAAGTAATGAGAAGATCATAAATAATAATAATAATAATAATAATAATAATAATAATAATAATGTAATAATAATAATAATAATAATATCAACAACATAAAATGATACACTACAATCCAGGATAAAGTAGGGATCGAATCTGTAGACTTTTTCATTGGGGGAAGGGTAGTGACCAGTCATTCTTTTTTAATCGTCCCTCGTGCTTTGCGTGTCTTTCCTTCTTTATTGATTTATACTCTCTCAGTACAATTTACGTGTAATTGAGCACGAATTTTAAGAAAAATAAATATTTTATGAATTTGTGGTTCTAAACAAGTTAAAATGGGATTGAGAGTATTTGTGTGATTATAAAAGCTTCTCATTAAGGGTAGAATTGAAAGTTTAAGCTAAATTATTTTCAAATTTAAAAAAGAATAATTTTATTTTGAACGAACCAAAAAGTAAATAGGTTCACGTCAAATAGAAAGAAACGAAGGGAATAAATTTTCTTTTTTTTTTTTGCTTTTATCATTTCCTGCCTTTGCCCAGAGGTACAACCCTGATCAGAGTAATTTGTACTCTATGATCGTTGTGGGGTATAAGCTATAATTCATTCAGGCACAAGCCTACAGTGTTTAAACAGTAGAAACGACCCGTTATAAACGTGCTATGCGTTACTGTTAGTCTAACCAACTTAGCATTTTTATATTTCTTCAATTACCTGCCTGATGCGACATTTTTTACTCCTTTACTTTGATTAAAGCATGTGAATGAAATTAAAAGGGCAGATAGAAGTATGATGGAGCGACATATTGACAAGTGACAACTGATTGGAGAACGAGAAGAAATGGACAAAATTCTTTATAAAAAAGAAAATAACAAAACAAGTTTAAAAGAAGCTTACTTATAACATGTTTGACCAAACTTCTTCGAATCTAAAAGTATTTTTATATGCTTTTTTTGTATTTTTTATTTTTAAAGCTGAAGTGTTTGATCAAACTTTTAGCAGAAAAAAGTGCTTTTGAGCAAAAGTAGAAACAGATTTGGAAAAACAGAAAAAAATATCTTCTCTTGAAAAATATTTTTTCGAAAATCACTTTTGAGAAAAATACACTTAGAAGCAGTTTTTAAAAGTTTGGTGACTTGGTCAAACACTAATTGCTACTCAGAAGTGCTTTTCAAATTAATTAGCCAAATATAAATTAATTCTCACCAGAAGTAATTTTGAGAAAAAGTACTTCTCAAAATAAATTGATTTTTGCAGTTTGGTCAAACAGGCTATCTTTTTTTTATATATAAAAAATTAAGAAATCAGAATCAATATTCAAATAATAATAGTCATGGAAGAACCAAACCCCTAGAACGTGAAATTCAGCTTCACATAGACATGACAATCAAACAATAAATCATATAAAGAAACATAAAAATTACTAAGTTTAGTAAAAAAAAGGAAGAGGAAATCCGGCCTCCACGACAGCTCTGTGTTCTCCTTTCGTCAAAAGTTCCAAACGAGCTATTAGTTGAGCTGGAAAAGGAATATTTTATCTTGTGTTTAAACATGAATTTAAAGTATTTCAAATTTTAAAATGCAATATGTATAAATACTTATGACTAAACTTCAACTTGCAAATAATGACTTCAAAAATTTGCAATTGAAGTAATGGCTTATGGCCAAGCATCCTAATAAAGCATGAGGCCGGTGTCTTTGAATAGAAAAAGTAGAGAAGTGAAGTATAAAATATCCATGATTCCAGGAATAATAATTGAGTGGCTGGTCAAACCACAAAATAATATTCCTCCATTGCCAATTTGCAAAAAAAAAAAAAAAAAAAAAAAAAAAAAAAAAAAAAAAAGGAAAGCAAAAGAAGCCTGTCAGTTCTCAAATTCACAACTTACAATTGAACAGAAACAACCTTCTTTTTTCGTTTTTGAACAGGGAGANTGCACAAAGGCTAAAGCCAACTTTGAGCATTTTAAAGTTCCAAACTTCTAGCAGAAGACCAACCAATCCCTCAATGGCACCTCTACAGCAAAAAATTAAAGTGCTTGAATGTTGCCAAGTCTCGCCACCATCAGGTTCAGTTCCATCAACTATTTTGCCATTAACATTCTTAGACATACCTTGGCTTCTTTTTTCCCCAAGTCAACCCCTTTTCTTCTATGATTTCCCTCACACAACTTCTCATTTCAAACAAACCATTCTATCCAACTTCAAAACTTCCCTTTCCTTCACACTCCAATATTTTTTCCCTTTAGCTGGCAATCTGATAATACCACCACAACCAGCTTTACCACACCTTAGCTACACCTCAGGTGACTCTGTTTCATTAACCATAGCAGAGTCCACAGCTGATTTTAACCAACTCTCAGGCTACAACCAAATTAGGGGTGTTCAAGATTTTCATCAATTAGTTCCTCAAATGCCAAAAAATTGTGACTTGCTTGGTATTGACCAAGAGTCAAGGTACTCACTTTTGGCTGTCCAAATAACTATCTTTCCTGAATGTGGGATTTCTATTGGATTTTCCCTATGTCATGTGGCTGCAGATGAAAGGACATTCAACAATTTCTTGAAGGTTTGGGCTGCTATTTTTAGAACGGGACTAGAGTTGTACTTGCCTGCGTTGAACAAGAATTTACCGTATTATGACAGGTCAGTAATTCGTGACACTAATGGACTTGAACCAATCTTGTGGAAACAATGGTGGAACCAAATATGTTTGCCAAAATTGCTAGTTGATAATTTCGACATGGTAAGGTCCACATTTGTGATGGGTCGACCCGACATGGAGGTTATCAAAGGATGGATCATGTCTCGGTCTGAAAAACTATTCGGGTCAGTTCAGTTGCTTCTTTCTCCGTATGTCATAACATGTTCATATATTTGGGTGTGCTGGTTGAAAGCTAACATGCAACATATTGAAGATCCAATTGAAAAAACGGAGCCCCATTATTTCGGTTTCATAGCGGGCGGTATAACCCGGTTAGGTTACTCGGTACCTGTAACTTATGTAGGTAACTGCATTGCATTTGGTAGAGCAATGGCAAGGAGAAATGAGTTACTGGGAGAGAATGGTATAGTTTTTGCTGCAAAAGCAATTGGGGATACAATAAACGAATTGGATAGGAATGTGTTGGGTGGGGTAGAAAATTGGATTTCGGATTGGAAGGTGTTCTGTGGGTCGGGGCTCCATATAACAGTAACCGGGTCACCTAAAGTGGATCTTTACAGCTTGGATTTCGGGTTGGGCGGACCCAGAAAAATTGAAGAAATATCAATAGATAATACAGGTAGTGTGTCTCTATGTGAAAGCAGAGAGATGGTTGGTGGAATAGAGATTGGTTTGGCTCTTCCATTGGCCAAAATGGAGGCCTTTCGGGTTCTCTATAATGAAGGGCTCAAAATCTTCCCTAAAACTCTTCCAAGAGACATGGGTTGACTTGGTTTCGTATTATAATATGGTTGCTAGAATTATTTTAAATAAATTGGCGCATTTTGCATTAGTTTCAATGACTATCCGTCGTTTTCTTTCATTTTGATCATCTTATTATTCTTTTTTATCTTTTTATTAGTGTGGTGCTTATGCTTTCCCGAGAGTCTATTAGAAACTGCATTTTTGACTTCACAAGATAGGGGTAAGATCTGCGTACACACTATCCTCCCCAGACCCCCACAATGTGAGATAATACGAGGTATGTTGTTGTTGCATTTTGCATTAATTTATCGAGTGGTCGGTTATCATATTTGGTTTTTGTGTTGATAATACCAGAATTGATTGTAAAATCATTTCTATATTAGTTTATATCGCAATCATTGTGAAGTATATATAACAATATAAATACTATGTAATAAACCGAATAACAACCAAACCAACTAGCTATATTGATTCACTGAAGGGACTTACAAATACTGAAAATTACAATAAAACAGTAAGGGATAATTGATAGATAATAGAGAGGGGTGAGAGGACACAAATACACCATAGAAGAAGGGGATGAGAAGCTTAGACACAGAGCAAGGAGATGAGAGGAGCAGACATTTTCTTCTTCAACACCATGCCCCGTATCTTCCTTGGATCCCAAATATAACATGCTAGTATTTTGTTTGCTTGTTCAATCACTGGGCCTTTAGCTCTTGGCCCAATAGTCCCAAATGGGTCAGCCCCATTACTCATTTCTGGCCCATAATCCCTTACCAAGTAAGGTTGGTTCACAACAATACTTCCGTCCTTGAAAAGAAACTTGTCCTCAAGGTTCGAGTCAAGAGAGGTGTTAGTAGTGCGCACCCTGCCAATTGTCTCTACACCAAGGTATCCTGTGGAATATAAGGAGAAGATGTGAGCTATGTCAACGTGACATGAGATGCTGGTCATTATAACATTGACAACCTTTGGCACAATACCACCATAAATCATAAGGCAACCAGCTACAATCTTGGCATTTAGAGGGTCACACTTGACTTGAGCTTCCTGGACAATTCTCTCCAAAGCAAGAACGTTGGTAACCCCAACAAGTAGGTTGGTTATGGAGTTCTTGAACAGTGCTCTTTGTGCACAAGAGATCACAGTACTTTCCATCATCAGCAAATACCAATTGAAGGACAAGAAACTATTTTGCATTGCCTTTAAAAAGATCTGTGGTTTATAGCATTTCCCAAAGATAACATTATTGTAAGTAGTTCCTAATAGAATTAGAGGAGCTTGGTGTATATCAAACAGATATCTACTCCAAATAGTAGGTGCATGTAAGGATGAGCCAGTTAACTCATTCTCACTAATTTCTTTTGGAGAAATAAATTGAACAAGATTCATAATCACTCCCTTTTGCCTCTAATAAGTGTTTGTCCATAAACATAATGTATGTCATGGACTGCTTTCCAGACACGCCCCATGACCCCTTGGTCGTGCCCATGGCGGCCTAGCAAGCCTCACAATGCCTAGCGCCATGGTCGGCCCCGTGGTCTTGGCTGCGGCAAGTGACAAGCGTGCATGCGCCTCTGTCGCCCCACCGATACCTCTCGCCAGCGTCCAGTGGCTGGCCAATGACCACAGCGCCGCGCGCCCTGACAATGTCGCGCGCGCAGATCCTGATGCCTCGCCAGCGCCCAGCTGNGACCCGCAAGACATAGTTGCTGCCATCGGACTTGGTTCTACACTGTAATAACCTAAGTTCTTTTCATTGTAATTATAGGCTAGTTTACATCATTTTCATTCAGTGTGCTTCTACAGCTTTATTAGGACTAGTCATGTAACTTTGGTTTATTTTTTTTAAGTATTATTAGAGGGGATCAAGCAATCAAATATTTTCAAGCAATTAATTTTCTGTACTAGTGTCTCTCCCCCTCGACACCACATCTTTTGTAATCAGCATTTCGTTCATCAATAAAATCATCATCATTATTCAAAACCAAATTCTCTCTCAGCTTCTGCAATTGCTCGTGACATTGGTTTTCCCGCACGACACTGACAATCTAGTCTAGCGTGCGGAGGGGACCTCATTGGTGGACAGCAACCGCATTGACATCGGTTGCGTAGCCTTACGTTGCCCTTCCAAAGAACATCAAGAAGGCGTTGCGTAACATGTAGCATGAATGGCAATAATCTCATCCTCATGTACAGGTTTAGAAAATAACATCTCGGCACTGTCCAATTGAGCATTGTTGGTATACATTTTAACTAGGGCAGTAGCTGCAAGTTCATTAACACAAATCACCAGCTTGGATGCCATATCAGGATATAACATACTAAGCTCAAGAGTCTTTCCATTCTATAAATGCCTAAACTGATCAATTATGTATTGCTCTTCAATATGTGTAGGAGCACCATCAAAAGAACTCATGAATGAAAGTGCTATAGATTCACTCACTAGCTTGTATGATGCATGAGAATTTCTAAAATTACAACTACATTCAACACCCCTTGCAACTCTACCTACGTGCTCTCACGCATACAAATTTGCAAATAAATAGCTCCTTTTTCTAGCTTCTTCAAAAAGTTTATGTGCCTCCATGTTCTCTATAGAGCCCGCTAGAGCCCTGAACTTGGAACTAATTCCCGGATCCCATACACCATGATCCCTCACAGTTATAGGAATGGTGACAAGAAAGAAATTATCACCACAATCAAACGGATATCGACTCAAATTATGGCGATCAATGAATCCCCTCGTAGATTTTCCATGCTCAACATCGGGCATAATTTCATCCGAAGTCTTGTCACTTGTTGGAATGCTATCCTCATTCTCTATAAAATATTTATCAAGACATAGATCCTCAATAGTTTCAGGCTCCATGAAAAATTCAGCAAGATACATGTCTTCAAAGGTCTCAAATTCAATGTGTTGTTCACTAGTGACACAATCAAGAAAAGTTGCAGTAACATACCTCTTTGACATATCTTTATGAGCATTTTCATCAAATAGTTGGACTTCGCTGCTTGCAGGACCTGTAGCTTCTAAATCAGGTATATCGATTGGAGCATCTGATTTTATGTCAACACATACATTAGGACAACAACAATGTAACATTGCGTCGAACTCCTTAGGTAACTGAATATCGTCCAAATCAGCTATAAAGCGAGAGATATAAGCATTTGCATCTGTGCTTTGGCACGCTGTTATAACATAAGAATGTTCTTCTAGTGCTCTGGTGAAAAACCTAGGAGTCATTTCATCGAACACATGTTTGTCCTCTGATTTACCAACTTCGGATGCAGATTCTAACTCATAAAAGTTGGAATTATGGCGCAAATCAGCTAAAGGAGATACTTGAGCCTCAGATGAATTCAGAGTAGAGTGGCTAATGTAGGTATGATACACCAGGGATGAATCAGCCAGCCTCCTCTTCGAATCTACGACAAGTAGTTTCCGAAATCACAAAAATAATTTCTCCTTGATATGGTTCCAATCATGGAATTGTTTGTTGCGAAAGAGCCAATCATACCAAGCGAGGGCATCACCTTCCAGATAAAAATATAGAAGAGGTAACCAGTCTTCCTCGTAGAAACCAAGAAATTTGAAGTAACGCTCTGCCCGATAAACCCAGCCCTCTGGGTTGCCATGACTGAACTTATCTAGTATCGCCGCTGCCATTGGAGTTTTCTGGATGAAAGCACCAATGTAAAAAACCGAATAACAACCAAACCAACTAGCTATATTGATTCACTGAAGGGACTTACAAATACTGGAAATTACAATAAAACAATAAGGGATAGTTGAGAGATAACAGAGAGGGATGAGGGGACAGAAATACACCATAGAAGAAGGGAATGAGAAGCTTAGACACAGAGCAAGGAGATGAGAGGAGCAGTCATTTTCTTCTTCAACACCATGCCCCGTATCTTCCCTGGATCCCAAATATAACATGCTAGTATTCTATTTGCTTGTTCAATCACTGAGCGTTTAGCTATTGGCCCATTCGTCCCAAATGGGTCAGCCCCGTTCCTCATTTCTGGCACATAATCCCTTACCAAGTAAGGTTGGTTCACAAGATACTAGGTAAATCTACATATAGACATATACATGAGGGAAACGTGTTTTATACTCTTACTTGTTTGACCATTCTTATTTATCATCTCTTTATTTTTACTTGTAAAGTGATTTTAAATTATGTGAAAGTGCTTAAATAAATTTTGATGTTTAGAAGATAAATGTAATATTTATTGATTCATAATCTCATACTGTGGGTACCTCTTTTCTTTTTTACGATTCTCATAATTTTTTTAGACACACCTTTTAAGTTTCCTCTTAAAGCTAAATTTTGATGTTTAGAAGAGACATGTACTATTTACTAATCTATCTATATTATATTAAAAGCATGAAACCCCTTAACAAAATATCGTTTGCCTTTTTTTACCCTTTAAAAATAAATTTTATATTGGACAAAATAGTAAATTAAGTTACTCTCCTATTATTGGACTTTAAAAATAATTAAATTTTAATTATTACTCCCTACGGTCCACAATAAGTGACCAATTTACTTTTGGCACGTCCATTAAGAAAATATTAAATTCTATACAAAAATACCTAGTATGACTAAACTAGCCTTAATTAAATATTTAATGTGAGGAGTAAGAAAACTTTTTAGGGATTTGTACATAAGGATAATTTTATAAAAATAAATTAGATTTTTTCTTGATTATATAAATGCCACTTATTTTGGACCAAAATAAAAAAGTAAATTGGTCACTTATTGTGGACCGGAGGGAGTATGTCTTTCCTTATTAAATCAGGTAAGAAGTCCTAATATTAAGAATTTTAAAATTATGCATCATTTCTAATTTATTTGAATTATGTAATATTATTATATTGCTTTCCATATTAGTTTTCGATTTTGATGAAATCAACTAATAACTGAATTATTAAAGTTTGTAAAAGATCCAGAAGATTTAATGTCTTACTAACATGAGTATGTACCGTTGTACCATATTTTGATACATAACTATAGAGTATTAAGATGCTCGAACTAAAAATAGAAGTTTTAATATTTTAAGGATATTTATATATACATATATGCTGATAAAAATAACATAACATATTTCATTTGATTTTCTTATTCATGAATTAGCAATTAACAAAGGCGTTTAGATAGTTTTCAAGCGTCATAAATTAACCTGTATGGGTATGAACAAAAGAGAATGACAATAGCCTAATTTATTTTTTACTTAGTAAAAAGATTAGCAGATACTTTTAAGTAAAGTAGCAATTATAGTTATGTTACATACTTATAACAATTTTTAAATAAAAAATAATTTATATAAGATAAAATTTTAGTCGATTTTAAATACAAAAGATTTAATAACTAGAATATTAGTTATTTTAAAATTTTAAATGTTAGAAAAATAATAAAATTATAATTTTATGCAATATGACATCTACTTTTGAAGGTAAAAAATTGATCAACATGTCGACCACAATGCATTCCATGTTAATTTTTCTAATATTTTAGAATTTTAAAATCAACTAAAAGTTTATTTATTAAATTCTTGCTTATTTGAGTAGATAGTACGGAATCTCTAAGATCAATTAAGATTTCAATTATCTTTTTATTTTTAAACAGTGTAAATATTATTTTGAATTACGTTCATATTCAAACAATATTTCAAAACACTAATCATTCTGCAAATACACGATTCAAAACTTAATATTATAATTATAATTAAATATAAAATTAAATGAGCTAATATTAAGAATTTAGATAATTCTTTTAATGTTAAAAAAAATATAATTTTAAATTAAATAATTAAGAAAAGAATCTAATTTTTCAAATTCATCATATAAATAAATTATTTGTTAAGGTGACAAAACTCCTAAGGTATATTTTTTTATAGTAAGTTATTTACGGTAAGATATTCACTCAATATTATTTATTTTTTTAAATATATTTTACATTATCACCATTAATTTTTTAGGAGGTATAGGGCCCACGTTTTCATATCCAAATCTCTAAAAGACCAAAGGATTCAATTTTTAATTTATATTATTTGAAATATCATTGACGAATTGTGATAAAAGTATTTTGTATTTTGTTTTCAGTATTAGATCACAAAAATAAAAATAATTTCGTAAATTATTTCCACATAAGTCCTTATAAATCATAATAAGCCATCTGAAAACTTACGAGACATATGGTTTCTTCATTTATCGAACTTATTAAATATGAACAACATTCATTATTTTCATGAACTTTTCAAATTTTTACTATATAACTAAAATAACTCAAACACAATGTTTAATCATATTTGCATATTTTTAAAAGCTGTGTACTCACTAATATGGATGCATGCGCATAGCGCGTACCCTAAGACTAGTTATTTTAAAATCATATATTCTAATTAACTAAATATTAAATCGAGAAGGTGATTAACTTCGTGCCAAGGATATTATTGAGAGCAACAATTTAACTAACGTAAAATCAAACATCGATATCACTAGAAGTAATCCAGTAGTATTCACCGATTACAATAATGTATTATATTTCGTGTGTAATTGACCTGCAAATCAAATAACCCTATTGTGTATATTTTAAGAGTATGCTTCGAGGTTTCCATGTTTTCTTATGCAAAACCATGGGTAGTTTGATTCAAAAGAGAGTTATCTAGGGATTAGT